AGCGCGAATGTTGATTTCATATGTTTTCCGCAGAAATCACATTTTCGGGGAGTTGAGGCAGCGGATGTGCTTACAATTACATTACTTGAAATGTTTGTATTGTCGACGGTTATAGGCGAAAACGGTTTTACACAACTCTGGCTATGGTTTCTGTAAGACTCCTCTAACAAAAAAGTGTGACTGCAATTAGCACAAATATATGGTTGCAAAAGACAGTGCACCTTCTCCAAATGTCGTTGAAGGTTGAAGGCTTGTAAGAACACGGCACCACAAGCATCGCATGTGTATTCCTCATCGAGCTAGGAAAGTCCAAATTTAGATTGTGATTTTCATTGAAAACGCGTTTATTTACCTTTTGTTCTTTAGCTATATTTCTTCGCTTTTCTTGTTCAAAAGCTTCAAATCGTCCATCTATCTCGTCTGCTTCCTCATCGACAATGTTTTCGTAGAATTCCACGTTTTCGTAAAATTCCTCACACTTTACTTCTCCTTGTTCAGTCGATATCTCTGCATTCAACTGAGCGCTTGTCGACAATTCATCTTCAACTTCTATTCCCGTTAAATTGATTTCTACAGCTTCTTCGGGGTCTATCTCGAAAATATTGCTGTGAATTTCTAATAATTGTGAATCAGATGTAGTTCCAGGCTCTTTGCTGTTTGCCGCGCAAATATCATCAATAGGCAAAGATTCCTTCCAAGTTGTCATATCTAGAAGTTGTTGTGTGCGTTCACATTTTTCTCGAAACTTAGCAGCTACAAGTAGTTCAGTCGTACACTCTTGGCAAAGAAACTTTGGGAGACCATCGGACTCTGCTACCTACGTGTATTAGTGCTTACACATGGACGTTAACATTATTTAAATCTATTGGTTGCAAATACCTTGATACCACCACAGCGCTCCAGCAGCGTGATGAGATCCGATTGTAAATCCTCGATAATGCCGTTATCGTAAATGTGGACCATCAAATCTTCAAGTTGAAGACAAACACGACAACAGAGTTCTACTTCGGAGCCATCTGTGCTGCCAATATGTGGTTCACAATTCATTCCAAAGTATATTCAAAAGTCCTTTTCGCACTGCGCCAGGATGATGAGATCGTCTACACAAGTTATTTTATTTACGAATCGTGCATGAAGAGTAAAGATGAAACCGCCAGATGTCGTGAAAACTATGTTTGGTAAATGAGGGCGTTGAATTATTGCAAATCAGCGCAATAGTTTATCAGCTGTCAAATTCACGTACGAAGATTAATCGAAATGTACATCGATATTTCTCGATGCATCGAAGGGCATACATCGATGCAAATTACTGCAACTGAGCTAGTTATGTTTCTAACGGAACTTATTGCAGTCATTTAAATTTTTTGGTCAAAGTCACTTCTTTTTTTGAACAATTGAACAACTGGAATGACGGTTCAATGTACCGTAGATGTCAGTTTTCAAAAAACATCGATACATCGACTATTTAAACATTGAGTGAAAAATTTTCGATGCATCGAAGCAAAACATCGATATTTTGAGTATTTTTCATCGATGTTTTTCCGAAATCCCTAACCCACCCTAATCCTCGTACTAGCAACGATTATCATCATGAATTGATGTGCATTCCAGACTCCTGTTTTAAATAAATTTAATGTCATCTGTTGATAACACAAAGGATTGCTTAGCTTGTCGCTTAATAAGCGGCTTTGGTTTAATTGCAATGGGTGCTTACATATTATCACAATCAAAGAATCGCAGAAAAATTGAAATGAATACCATGCGTTTACTTTCAGGAGGTTAGTATGCTGTTGTAATATTTTCCTATGTACGCATTTGACTAAGGAATCACCTACATATGTATTTAATATTTGCAGGCATAATGTTCCTTGGCATAGCGCGACTTTCTAATGCAAGTTTTCTAAAAAGCAAATAAGATACATTTTTGCTTGACAAAAACATTATAATATAAAGTTTTATATTCTTAACATTAGCTTAAGTCAAATAAAAATATTAGATTTTAAAGTTAAATAAAATAATTTTATTAATCTTCGCCGCTATCTTCGCTTGTATCCTTGTTTGATGCGCCACTATTTTCTTCATCATCCTCTTCGTCCCAGTGTTTAATTTTTTTATTTGTCATAAAATCTTCCCTAAGCACACTCCACTCGGATTTCCTTTTGCTTTGTGTACCGGCTGGGGCATTTTGATCACCTTCGTCAGCGCTAGTGTCTTCGTCCTTCAAATTTTCACTCTTTACTGGATTATCCACAGCTTCTGATTTGGCTCGGTTGCCGCTCATGAGTACATCCAAAAATTTCCTCTTATTTATATTATTCAAAACAGCATCCTTTCGACTATCCAATGGCCCTGCCTCCTCCAGCTGCACCTGGATATCCTTTTGTTGAATGCGTACTGCGTTGAAAAGCTGTACAACACCTCGCGTCGCTACTTTGCGTAAGGTGCGTTCACGTTCAATATCTTTCCATGAAGGTTTCACGCGTAATTCTAGTGGTACATTCTTTCGTTGTTTACCTTGTTCTTCTCCCTCCTGTTTTATTGGCTGTTCATCTAATTTCTGCTCGCCCTCAACTTCGAAACCGTAATCCAAAGGTTTTGACTTTGTTTGGTCGGCTGGTTTTACCTTTTTGGCTCGTGACAACACTAGAGTTTTTTTAGTTTTTGGTTTAGAAGTGTTTAGAACCTTTGCTATGCAGTCAGCCCAGCCGGCGTTGCCTTCTGCATCATTTTCAGATGCTTCTTCACCAGATCTCTCTACATCAGAATCGTCTGTGTCTCGTGGTTTTGGAAATGCTATTAAGAAACATATGTATTTTAAAGCAGTTAAACCAAATAA